AAAGAAATGAATGATTAATCAATGTTTGTAAATCGGATAAAGATTTGTCCTGATTTACATATAAACTTCAGCTTTGATTTTCTCGGCTTAGACAATGTTTATTTTTAAAATTACTTCACCTATGAACTCATAAAATAGGTCGTTTTTTAAGCACGTTATAAAAGCCTTCTGCTCGAATTTGTATATCAGATAAAGATCGGCTGCAATTAGAGCCCCGTTTACACTACACGATTTTTGGTACCGTAAGCCTACCACTTTTTTGGTTCTTCGACTACGTAAATATGTCGTCCAAGAACAAAAAAAGTGGCAGGCCTACGGGTACCAATTTTATCCGTGGCGTACCAAAAATTGAGCGTAGTGTAAACGGGGCTTAAGACTGCCATATTCGTCACTAGCTTAAATATCTTGTGGAGGACAATAAGTCAGTCTCGAACTGTTTTATTGGGGTAAAAATTTGGTCGAATACCAAATGGAATATTATAAAAGAGTTTATTTACATGTGTGTATATACAACCATGTCTTTAACAAAGCACACATAAGGTTACACTTACTCAGGTGCTCAAATCGGAAACTGAAACTTGTGGGATATTGATTAATAGCTTCCAATTTTGAGTGACTCTATATATCACAGAAAATTTTAACATATGTTAGCATTATTTTATTGTATACATGTTTGCGTTATTTTTCTTAGCGTACATCATTAGCCTACTTTTTTAAGAATCATGAATTTGTATATCGTTCATTTTTACTTAATGCATGTAATAGAGAAATATTATAAAAAATTGAATCATCGAATACTTACATAAATAATGTTAATATATATGAGAATACTGCAATGAATGAGTAGTTAGTAGCTACGTAAATTAGCATAAACGGCAAGTATAAAGGGGGCGAAAACCAAACGTTGCGCCTCAGTTCGGAAGTCAAAAGGAAGATTGAAGTCTAAATCGAAAAAGATCTTAAAATGAAGACAACGTATTTTTTACTTGTCCTGGGTCTGCTGTATGCAGTGGCTTATTCGCTTCCAATTGAAGAAGATGAACCTTTGGAAGATGAATTATTGGAAGGTAACCAAATTTAATTGGTACTTATAATGCAAGTGTGGATGTCCATAAGGTCATCCACAGTTGCAACACCAGGGAGAATAAGATTTTCTATAAAGAAATTTACAATAAAGAAATCACTTCACTCCTCGTCTGCACAATTATGGAATTTAATGCCAATGTGATTGCCGAACTCAGAAACACTGCACGAGTGAAACTAAAGCTATTTGTTAAAATTCATCTTACTTGTTGTCATCTTTATATATGTAGTTGAATAATTTTTACTTACGAACATTTTTTATCAACTTTTCTTTAATGTGTTAATACAGCACCTCTGCTTGGGAGAACAGTTAAAAAATGTAACTGATATGTAACTGCGCACCCTATCAGTATTACGAACTCGATCGGTATATTGAAAAACCTCTCCGCCATTCAACCCGTTCCAATTCTGGTAACTTTCTGCGTCCAAACTTACGAAGAAAAGTCCTCTTTAGAGATTCAATAGAATTGTGTATTTATGGAACTGCTTGATCATGCCTTATTGTGATGTCAAATTGTCCTCTTCTCTTTCTATCCTTAGAACTAAACTATATATGTACTACAAAAACAAACTGAACACGATATTCGATATAGACAAGCCTAGAACTTGGAAAACACTGTGCAGAATAGCTAAATGTCTAGTATATTAGCATACTCGATGGGTAAATTATTTGTAAGGCGTAGTAATTAAAGATTTCATAATTTAAAAATCCGCTTTCCTCTTGATTGATTTTCTATAAATTAGTAGCCTATAAATAATTTTCGGTAATCAAGTATCATAATTTGGATTTGCCCGTCGAACATGCAAGCCAATTAGTTAATTGTTCAAGTGAGATTACAATTGTAATTTTTCTGTGGTTTTGTATACGCATAACGTCTGGTGGGATTTAATAAGGGACTTATGTTCTGCTGTCCTTACCATCGATCTCTATATATGATTGTTAAGCAATTAAATAAAGTCTAGATCTTGTGTTTGTAACATGTAGCATGTTCTTTGGTAAAGTTAAAATAAGTGATGTAATTAAATTGTTTCGTTTTGTTGTTTTTAAGAAATTGACGAAAATGCTCTGACAGAAGATGAGGAAGACGACGAAACGTAAACTCTGTGAAGTTTTTATTACATCGCCCAAGAGGGCGATTTGTTTCAAGCTCGTTTAACTAGACCGTATAGGCAAATAGTCTGATTAAGCCATTAAGCGCCAGCGCTCTCTCACCTTGACGAGTAAAATCGTCTGGTGTACTTAAGTATCATGGAAATAAATAGTGTGTATTGGTATGCATGCCAGTATCACACAATCGATACTTAAATTTAAAGATAATTAACATTGCATTGAAACGCATGAAGAGTACAGAAGTCTGGTGACCAAATGTTATTCCTACATTAAGGTGGCTCAAAACAATTGTTTAAAAATAAAAAAATCACGAGTTAGACCCGTATTTCTGTGCAATTATTACTTGTTGCCGAAAATGCATGATGTAAAACTGTTCTTAAGGGTTTGAATTTTTTCACAAAAGTTATGCAAATGCTGTTTCCATGGCAACAATGACGTTTCAATAAGGCGGATATTTTGGGTTTAAAGTAGTTTAACTTGTAAATGACGTCGATAATCATGACCCCAAATTTATTTCTTAAAAATTATACCTTTTAGTATAGTCAATTATTTTGACAATTTCAAAAAACGTCTGTTTAAGCACAGATTAAATAAGGACAGATGTATAACTTCAATAAAAAAAGTTGCCCCATGATGCCATCTTGCTATAGCAAGTGTCGCTCGCGTGATTATTCGTCATTTGGTAATACGTCGTTGCTTTCAAAAATGCTTCAACACCTTTTCTACAACTTTAATTGTTTTCAACAACTTTAAACATTGAACAAATGATGTTTTGAGTGTTTAATTAATCCATAAATTTCGATCGAAAAAAGTCGCAATAAAATGCAAAAGTTCGTGTTTCTCAGGACGCCTTTTTGCTATAGCAAGTGTCAGACGTGAGGATGACGTGTACATCTAGGGAAATTTGAGGACACGAAGTCCTATTAAGTCACACATCTGGTAGTCTGTGGTTTAATGGGTTAAAAATAGCAGCCGGCTGTTATAACCGGTATTTTCACAGCGCTAGCCGGCGACTTCTAAATTAGCAACGAGCTTTTGTTCTTAATCCATTGATCTACACAATGAATTTATAAGTTTTAAATTAAAAAGATGCTGCCATAAAAAGATCGCATTAAGAATTCTGGTATCCACGAAGAAGGCCGGGGTCATAACTTTATGATGAAAATCATAATAACGTTGTCCATGGCTCTTTTATATGCACTATGCTGGGAATTGATTTTCATCTTACGATTTTTGAAAAAAAAAATTTGATGTTAAAAAGACTGTTTTGTTGCAAGCGTTCTCTATTTTTGCTGCCCATTTTGCTGCAGCTTTTGTACATGATGGATTTTTTTTTCTGCGTAATCATGTTCGGCTTGTCAGAGCATGAAATAAATCGCCGGTATATATACACGCGCCAAACAGTCTACAACTATATCTAAATTCAAGTTATTTATTTGGAACCCTTATATTGGGGTTAGGCCACATAAAATAAATTCCTTGATTCTCATCACTAGACTTTGAAAATGTCGAAGAGCCGGGAGGTTTATATTTATATAATTTATCATCAATAAATAAAAAACTGATAGTTCCTAACATTTAATATTTCTGTGATTTCCAAAGTGAAGTGTTACAGACCAAAATGAACATATTTCTCCACGAACAATGACTGAACCGTTCAACTGAATGCGAAGTTCCGTTAAAATGCAATGGAATTTCTTTCAAGGTTCTATTTGTTTGAAATTGGCAGTTTAAAATGGCACTAAAAACCCAATTTTAAATATAAAAAACTTAACTGTCTTGAAATATTTTGTCGGGCGGTTAATTTATATTGTATAACAAAATATAAAAAAAATTCACACGGCTCTTAAAATACAGTCGGGCGGTGATGAGAATCAAGGAATTTATTTTATGTGGCCTTAGTGGCAATTTTGATTTCGATAAAATCGATTATCTTTGCAGCGATGAAATCGAAGCAGATCCTTGTTTTTGTCATGGATCTCGGCATAGATGGAGGAAGTACGGACGCAAATATGGACACCGTTCTGGTCGAAAGGGCATTTATACTCCTTATACCCTATATACTCCTTAAACACCTTATTGAGAATTACGACAGTAAGTTTCGCGCGCATTATTAAGATCTATAACGCCTCTGTTTATTTAAGCCTGGTTCACATATATGCCTGCGACGTACCGGCGACGATGCCAGTGGTAGCTTATAAAACGTAAATTATGTGAATATTTGTTCGCCGATTGCCTCCAGTGCCACAGTTACATCGGCGGTAGGCCGGGAAAGTTGACTTGAGTTCAACTTTGCCGGTATTTCGGCGGCAAGTAGAGGCATAATGATACAGTCGCAGGCATACCGCAGGCAAATGTGAACCAGGCTTTAATTTCCTGCAGATAATACGCATCTTTTCCGGGAAGGGACTTTGTGGTGCAGTCATCGGCGCCTTTCCCCTCTGAGATCATGGGTTCGATTCTCGCTACAAAGAGTCTGTCAACGCTCTGCCGAATCAGTCGTGCGTCTAATTCTCCGGGAGCTCCGGTTTCCGCCCACAGGGAAAGTTGACAGGTTGGGTTAGGATAAACACAGTTAAGAAAGTATACTATCACAATTTTTGAATAAGTTAAATAAAAAAAATAGTTGCAAGTTAAGGAGCTGCAAATTATTAACAATTATTGAATTTGGTTTTCGCATGATATGAAGAATTATCAATCTCGAAGTTCGTGTTACCACCGAAGCCATAGGCTGAAATTATGTTCGCTCAGGATATGTCCCGAGTTCCCTCCAGTCTGCCGTTGTTAAGCTTTTTTCCTTTTCCATATTTTTTTTAGAATTATCATCACCTGAAGGACCACGAAAATGTTTGTCAACACATCAGAGAAATTTGGACAAAATGTTTCATGTGTGTAGTGTGTACAATGTAGACTACTAAATAAAACTCTTGCATTGCAGATAATAGATTGTGTAATTTTATTGCGTGGATGAAGTATACCAACATATATAGGGCTGTGCCTCATCTGGGAAGAGATTAGATGGTGTAATAGCCCCCCAACCTCCAACCCACCCCATATGAAGGCACGAAAAATTTAGCGGAGGTAGGTCAAAACTTTTCCTCTGGTTACATACCTTATACCAGTGTTATATGTAATAGGTTCCTTCCACAGGGACCCAACAGGGAAGAAGGGCTTACAAGATTAATATAAATTTTTAAGGGAGTCGTGTTACATTTTTGCATGAACAACTGTATTTAATCACAAACAATCCAAAACGTAGCACGTTATAAAATCTACATTACAAAAAGCGAAAATATAATGCACATGCTTTGTACCGGTCAGAGACCCCACAATTTTTCTAGTGGCCCCCGAGCTACCATGTAGCCATATGTATAATTTCTGTGCCATTCAGAACGGGACGTTAGGGAGCATGCTTATTATACATTTCATTCTGTAATAAAGTAATAACATCGGACTGACAAATTCAGTTTTAAAATAAAAATGTTTATAAACTCAAAATGGGGTTTTGTTGATTCGAATAGATACAAATTTAGTCCATAAGTTCTATCTCCTATGTATATACGCATCTTGTAAAAAGTTTGAAAACCAAGTTGTCAAGGCAAGTATGGAACAACTTGTTAAAAATTGTAACAATTAAACTTGTTGACATTATCAAACTTGTTGCAAGGTCGGACCAACAAGTTCGATACAGTCATGATATACTAGACAATACTGTTACAACCTTGTGTCGTCAACCTTGTAACATTCTTGTTACACGATGACTGCATCGCACTTGTTAGAACAACATTGTAAAAAGTCTGATAATAACACCAAGCTTGTTGTTACAAGTTGTTAATAATAGCTTGTTCCAAGCTTTTTACAACAACTGGGAAGAAGCAGTGCGAACCAGTATTGATTTCAAAAGTATACGAGTCTGTCACTGAAGTCGCTCTTACATAACTTGTACAAATACTGCATAGTTGTTACTCGTTTTTTTCTTCGATGTGACGTTTGGAATGATATCAACTAGGTTACGATATCAATAACAAGCCAGAATAGACGAAGCCTATACACAAACAAAATAATATCAGTTTACGATTTTAGTACTTGATCAAATATAACGCCTAAGTTTCTCTTAGTAAAAGCTCGAAAACAAGAAATTACATAAAAGTTACGCGTATTACAAACGCGTAATTAGCTGTAAATATATAGCTGAACACATTGACACCCAACTAAGATTATTCCTTCAAAGCGCGTCATAAGGGTATAATAACAATATAGTTAAAACATTTTAAAAACGACGTTTTCTAAAAAAAACTTTTACTAAAAAAATCGTTAAATTAACATAATTTCTTGTATATAGAAAGCTAGTTACATAACCGCGTCCCAGGATCAAACAGATTTAATTTGCGAGCAGATATAGTTCAGTCATTTGAAGCTAAAAATGTAATGCTCATTTAACCGTAATGATTTAATTATTTAATTGAAAAAACTAACTAGGAAAATCAATTAAGCATAATTGAAGATCAGCAAAGTAGCAAACTTAATATGTTTTAACGTTTTAAAACGTTTTTATTGTTGGACCAGGAACTGGTCCCCAATCGCTGCTAATCTTGTTGTCGTTGTTGTTGTTGTTGTTGTTGTTGTTGTTGTTGTTGTTAGGGGGCGACGCTCTTTGAAAAAACCCTAAGGCTCCGTCATTACTTGTCTGATCGGAATGAAATTTGACACAATTATTCTAAGCAATATTCCGCATCGATTGACGGTGTTCGATTTTTCATTTTTGACTTTATAAGCAAGATACAAGCAATTTTTGACCGTATTCGTAGCAAATAATATATACATATCATTAATATTCAGCAAATATATCAGCAAACGCAAACGATAAGAAAGACATTGTCTTGTCTATTGTTGTGAACACAATCACAATAGTCTAAAGCTTCTCAAGAATGTGAACGACTGATTATAACAATTAATTATAAGCGTTAATTAAGTTGACTAAATTTAACACGCTGGCTTAGTTTCTCAAAGCGTAGTGGAGTAATATTGCATGCTATCTGCATGGCTGTCATATAATATTCATAGTCCGATAGTGAACCGTAAAAACAAAGACATGAAAATTTGTTTTTAGCACAAGCATGCAATTATGAAGCCATGACTAAGCGAGATGAAATTAATTAACCTGGCAACAATTCAGATAATTTGTTACCTTAACTTATTTTGTAATTAATGACAGGCACGGCAAGGCGAAATTTGATGTACGGCAAAAGTTAGCTGACTTGGGCACGGCATGTTTATTCTAAATATTGTGGGACATTTAACTTATCTGTCGAAATCAAATGCGAGGAAATACTTTTGAAAACTGCGCATTCAGTTATCTATGCTTTGTCCAGATTTACACCTCATTTAGGCTATATACACACGGCACTAGACACATTTTGCCCGGATAAAGTGTATCTTGCATGACCAAATTAAAGCAAAACATTTAGCGAACTCAGTCTACGTTGCAAACTTCGAGAACATTAGTTTCACAAGTGTCTAGTTATTTGTTTATCAAGTCAAAATCTCGAAGGTTTTGAACGTTTAACGATTTGCTCAATGCTCAAGATCGAAACTGGGTCACGCAGTTCCTGGTCCACTATAGTACGATCGTACTTGTTAAAAAAATTGAGTTTACTGATCTTGAATTATGCGTAATTAATTTTCCTAGTTAGTTTTTTCAATTAAAAGGGCTGAAATGCGCCTTAAAACCATCATTCAAAAGGCTGAACTGTGCCTTTAACCAAAAGACATGTATAGTTACTATTAGGTATAATAAAGTTAGCTTTATTCAGTTATGTTTTATTATAATACCCTCCGTTTGTGGAAACACCACGTAAATTTATTACTGCATTTACGTGGTGTTTCCACAAACAAAAGGTATTATATGTTTTATCGCCATGCAAACCTACAAAGAACTCATGTTTTATTAGCTTGGTTTAATACACAGTTTTCTTCGGTTTAGTTCAATTTATTTTCGTGTGCGTAACTTTGCATGATGATGTAATTTCTTGTTTTTCGAGCTCCGACAATGAAAAAACTTACGTGTTATATTTTATCAAGTACACTAAAATCGAAAACTGATATTATAACACTTGCGTAACATGGATAAATACTGCCGAAACATTTAAATATTTACAAGCATAAGCTATCACTCCGTGTTTACACGGGCACTATTTTTATTTTTTCAGCATAATCAGCAATATGATACCTTACGCCCCATCACCCCCTGCACGTATAAACTAAAAGCTGGAATTGCATGCATATCACCTCGCCTTCGGCGACTAATTGTTCAATAGAGTCGGTGAAAATTCGTCCCAGATCTGGGCAGCTGATTCTGTTTGGTCACAACTTATTTTTTATTCTGATTGGTCGCGACGAAACGTAACGGACTCTGATTGGCTGGATTTAAATATCAACGACCGTTGAACTTTGATTTTTACTTCCCTCTATGCTTCAAAATACTAAATTTCGATGCAAGAATATTTCTGATGCATTGCAGAATGATACCCAATTGAACAAATGAAATGCAACAAAGAGTTGAAAATAACGGCAAATCCTGAACGTGATGAGATTTGTTATATACGTTATTCAAAGTCAGAACTTTGTTGATCTTTGAACTCAACCAATCAGAATCTAATGAGTGTAACTATGACTAATCAGAATCAAATACCCAGATCTAGGTAGCGCAGCTGGGGGTCGTCAAGCAATGCCACAAATTTTCAGACTGTGCTATGCTTTGCCGGCCAGGGTAAAATGAATGCGTATTTAACCCATTGTATTATAATTTATGCATCATACATAACTTAATTGGCGGAGAGGTATGCAGTCATCGCTTGCCCTTTATATAGTATTTATACTGCATTTATAGAGAGACTCTTACCATGAATGTAGCTTTAATCACTGGCGCTATTTTCTTTAATCTTACTTGGTCTGGTCAACGGTAACGGCTATCTCATAGCCCCACCCGGACGTGCTTCGCGTTGGCGCACAGGTTTCCCCGGACCAAAATACTATGATGATCGTCATTTGAATTGTGGTGGTCCGTATAAACAGTGGATTATACATGGTGGAAAGTGTGGTGTCTGTGGGGATGAATGTGGTATACCCAATCCTAAGTATGTCTACCCTGGGATGTAGGCTCGCAACCCACCTATCGTTAAAACTTACCAGGCCGGGCACACGATTGCCGTTCAGGTCATAATCACCAAAGCTGGTAAAGGTCACTTCACATTCCATGTGGCTCCTCTGGTGAACGCACCCACCACCCAGGATGAATTGAATCAACATGTCTTGACGTTGACAGATGGTCAAGATCGCAGGATTTCGCGACCAGTTGGAACACACATCATCAACTTGAAACTACCCACAGGATTTGTATGTGATCACTGTGTCTTGCAGTGGCGGTATACCAAATGAAATAATTGGGCCAATATAAATCCGGAGACTTTTGTCAACTGTGCTGATATCAAAATCACGTCAACAAAATAATAGAGTGAACTGTCCTTTGCCTTTATGTATCATACTTAAATTAACCAGAAATACATGCATGCAACAACCCCTCGCCCATAATGAAGTATTCTTAATTACGCCAACACTGAACGCAGGCTCGCGTCATGTTAGCCATGGCAACACGATAATTGTTTTTTAATTTTTGGTACAAACTTGCAATAAATAAAACTTGAACGCTTTTAACTAAAAAACTATCATTTCTAAAATATATAAAGTAGGTATGTTATTTTGCATTCTATCGGCTTTATTTTAATCACGAAACTCTTCGTAAAACGTTTTTAAATGTTCATTAAAATTAACAGCTTTCTTTAACTTATTACGTACTCGTACTTTTAAATTAATTAAATTTAGATCGTATTTAGTAGTATTCTTGTACAACACGGAATTTCGCTATGGTAACAAACACCTAATCATGCAACGTTGATCCTTCACATATCGTGTGGGTTGTAGTCTGATCACAGTTGTAATGAAGGGTGTTTGACGCAGTATAAAATTATGCTTTTTCGAACTTTCGAAGTAATTCACAAGATAGATTTGTGATTTGTGCTTTTTTCGTTTAGTTTCACTTGTATATCCTTATTTCGGTGCCTTTGTAGTATTTAAAGCGTGATATAAAATTGAAATGTCATTGTATTGGCATCATGGATCGAATTACATAACTTTGATGTTATTGTGATATAACAAAGATTTTATGCCGACATTGTTAATTAATTAAAACGTTTTTAGTCAAATAAATTTCCTGGAAGAAATTTGATATCAGTGATAAACATCGTCAACGTATAAAACAATAAGGAATTTTTCGCAATCTGGCATTAAATATATAAAAATGATATATCATACACTCTAAGCTATTGTATTCTAAGCATGAACTTGTGATGTCAAGGTCATGTAATACGATAACAACCAGATGAAGACAACGAAAGAACAGATGCCATATATTGTTGTTCATCAAATACAATATGCTTGCTTTGGTGCTTTTCGCAATAATGGTTCAGTGTGGCGCTAGAATAAGAGCGCAAGAATACACAGAACCCGCATTTCTGGGAGACAACACAACACGAGTATTTACGCCATTGCCAATAGGACAACACACCAAGGAATTTGCTTCAATAAGGATTGGTCGGACAAATAAATCATGTCTGTTCAGGATCAACAAACACGATATATCAACGTTATTACATCTAGCAGAAAATAAAATGATCAATATTGTGAAAATCCATCCTAACTTCTTTGCGAGTAATACCAGTATTCCACGAATTCAAAAGCGAAGATGGACTTTAGCTAATAGAGTTGGTCGAGAGATCCTTTTAGTACTTACAATGACAGGCAGTTGGAGTTGGACCCTGACAGTTCATACAAAAACCGTAAAAGTTGATATCTTTGAACACCCCTCAGGATGTATCGCATCTACGAAAAATCCAGAAGGTTATTTTGTCACTATTATACTGTATCAAATTTTCAAGTCAAATCTGGATAGAGAAATATGCTATAATGCAGTGTTTAAAAAGGTGCCCTATCACGTTTGCTGCACAATTCCACAAAATCATCCACGCAAATCCAACTGTTACATACATGTAAGATCTCCCTTATTGAGCACACTAAAAACAATGATAACAGTTTTACAAATATTCATACAGTCCGCCGGCATTTTTCTCATGGCAAACTTCTGTATTTGTTTGCCCTGGCAATCTGAAAATGAGAGCAAGGATCACTACAAACTCACAGAAAGTCCAATGTCAGTGTCCTACATTCTTTTCAAGTTATTTTGGGATGGATATGGACCGTTAAAGTCATTCGCCAGGAGGTCTATATTTATAGGAATGGTTTTCGTTCTTTTCTCGGCAACCAATTTCTTTAATTATTTACACTCAATCGTGTTATTTTCGGTTTGGGCAGTACTCTTACAATTTTCTAAATTATTTGCTAACTTTTCTTTTAAGGAGGTTTTGGAATTGTCTTCGTTGGGACAATATTTTGTGAATTTTCTGCATTCTTATTTAGTGTACGATGTGCGCGATATTTATTTATCTTCCAGGACAGATTTCCTAGGTGGAGCGGTAAGCTTAATCACCTTGCCTTTAAATATCAAACGCTGGAAGATTGCTCTCGTTAAAGTTTATAACAACGGAGTAGTCCCTATTCGTGCATCGAATTTAAGCCACCGATCTTTTTGTAAACGTTTGGGAAGATTTGTATTCCATTGCGTAACTATTTCAATTTACATTTTAATTGTCTTGATTATGCAGATCATACTAATAATAACGAGCATTTATCTTGATACCATGTTGATTTTCATTTCTCTATTCATTTCAACACTCAATGCATACGAAAATGAACGCAACCTGGTCTTTTTTATCATTCGTATGTTCCTGGAGGGCCTCTTGTTAGCCGTATCATGTTATATCTTTCCCCAGCTCTTTGCATATTTACCAACTTTAGCTATTTCATTTTTTAGTGGATTAATCCTGAATATCGCTTACTTTATTCCTTATATCAGTTTTCTTTCTGTTTTAACATTTTACTCCTTAAATTCTTGGAAAACTGTTGAAGAGCGATATAGCACTTTAAAATCCTTGATCCATAAAGAATGCCGCAGTAAATTTAAAAACGACAATTATGATGCTGTTGGAATTGCTGAAAATGACAGTAGCGATACAGTGGTACAAGTCAGTGAGATTAACAATGGTGGCAATGAAAGTAACAACAGCAAACAAGATAACAATGGTAATAAAACTGAGTACGTAGTTTCCAAGCAACTTTATGATGAAATCAGAGAACGTCTTCTACCATACCAATGAAATCTATTCTTTTTCGTATTCAGGGTTCTGTGTATCGCTGCATTTGCTTCTATTGTGCTAACGTTAGTTGAAATTCTTCTGGAAAGCGACACCTCTCCAACAGTTCAGGTGTTAACCACGTTTAGTGTAAGTGCTTTACCATATGTTATGAATATTGTTGCTTGCAAAAGCGGTGACAATGAGAAAAACGCATGGACGGAGAATCTACAGGCAGATGTAAAATACTTGGTAAACAAGCTCACTGCTGAGAATTCAGAGTTAGCTCGGATAATAATTGTTGTACCGCGTAATCAATTTGCTTAAATAGAAACAACGTTAACAGAAGTATTGTTTGAACAGGTATATATATGCTTGTGCCAACTTGTGACATTTCACATGTTTATTACAGGTCGAGCCAGGGACGCCGTAACCACATGAGGGCAAGGGGGGGGGGGGTTCTGTGGTGGGATACTTTTAAACCGATTCATAAATTTGGAAAAAAAGTTTTCGAAACCACCAAAATTAGCGATTTCATAGTCAAATCGATCCCCACGAGAAAAAACCCAAAACGAACGTATTTTGATTCGCGATTTTGCGCTCATGCGGCGAACATGCATGCAATGAATTTTTAACATTTTTTTAAACATCTGAAATATTTCCATAAAATCAAAAAGGGCACCTTTGCCCCCCATCCATGCACCCCCTCTCTGGTGTCCCTGGGTCGATCAATTCAAATTATTTTCACAGCTGATGCGGGTATTGATAATAGCACTTTACTGACCCGTTATATTGCATGCAGGTGAAAAATTTCTATATAGACCGTATATAATAACAAAACAAAATAGCAACAGATAAGAAATTGTATCCATAAAGGTTAAAATTTGTATATATATATATATATATATATATATATATATATATATATATATATATATATATATATATATATATATATATATATATATATATATATATATATATATATATATATATATATATATATATATATATATATATATATATATATGAAACACGCATCCTTAAAGATTGCTTTACTGTCTCACTGGTCTCATTGGTCAATATAAACGTAATGATAATATATTCTCAAATACCCAATAGTATTGAAAAGTTTTGTTCACTCTAGAGCTTAAAACATTGTACAGCTGTTACAAAGTTGAAGAGTTCTGGTTTTAACAAAATAATTTTCGGCCAGTCTTTGCATGGGATCTCTTACAAAGGCAATGTTTTGCTATAGAATTTGTTTTGTTCAATATGATAAATGTCTATATTGTTGGATTCATCTAATCATCTTCACCCTATATCGCAAAATATGAAATCCCGACTTCAACATTTTGCCATGTTGGGCTCATGAGAATTCAAGTTATAAAATACGGCTAACGGATTCAGCCAATCAGATTGCAGAATAGCTCATATAGAGTGGATAATTTTAATAAAAGTGGCTAATATAGAGTGGATAATTTTAATAAAAATAAAATATAATATATATATATATATATATATAAATATATATATATATATATATATATATATATATATATATATATATATATATAAATATAAAAATACTTATCAAATAATAGATTTTTAAACTCTCGCATACCATTTAGCTGGTCAAGCAGGGTTGGTCGTTTGGGAACAAGTTAATAAATGCGAACGATATTCCTTATTGAAACCAGTCATCCAAAATTTCAAAATAATCTCGTCTTCGGGTTTGGCATCCAGGACTTTGAATAATCTGAAGCAAAACAAGTAAATCTGACATTGTTGGTTGACCTTTATTTATTTATTTCAAAACGTACCGTTATAATGAAAATAGAATAGGCCTAACTTTTTTATTTCTTGGTTTACGGAACCAACGACCGTAAAAATCTCGAAAGTGAAAAAAGTTGAAAACA